AGGAAACGAAAAGGAAGAACCGAAAAATAAAGAGGAAAAATAAAGGAAGAATTTGAAGAGTAAGAGAGATAAAAGGAAGAAGGGAAAAGAAGAATAGAAATAAGGGAGGGAGGAAATGAGAAGGAAGAACGGAAAGATGAGGAAAAAAGATAAAGGAAGAAGAAGTTGAAGAGTAAGAAAGATAAAAGGAAGAAGAAGAAAAGGTAACAGTTCTGGTTCGAGAGGACAAAGATGGTCGCGTGTGCTGCGAGAAAAGAGAAGTGGGGGATGAAGTTGGAATAAAGCGAAGAGGAAGAACGGGAACGGTCGATGTTCGCGCGGAACGCGGCACTGCGGAGATCAGATACCGAGGTCGGAACAAGGCTGCGGGACACAAGAGAGCTTTCGACTCACGTCAACTTTAATGCCCTCGACGGTATAGCTGTGCTTCGTTGGTTCTCCTTTAGGCACGTATCTGTAGAATTCCTCGTGATCCTTGTACCAGGAGATGGTGTAAAGCCTGTCCCCTCCTAGGTCGTATCTGGAACAAGGGAACAAACGGTGCGATAGCTTATTACATCTTGCGATACGCTACCACCGCGCTGGCACGCGTCTCCGTTTCTCGATGATCGTTTCGACGACCGATCGAAATCTAGGCGCATCGAGTAGAACTGTCGCCTGCCGGAATCCAACCAGGAACGGGACAAGCGGTTAGCACGTTAGTTACCGGCGAATTGTATTATATATATATATATACATACTTCGTTAAATGTAACGCATTCTCTGAGGAATCGGTAAACTGTATACCCGGTGTTTAGAATATCATCTTACGGACTGTGGCTTCTAATCGCGGAGAATTAGCTTTGCTTTTGAAAATAGAGTTGGAACCGTTACGAGTCTGAGATACCGGTAGCGAACGTATAACTCTTAAGGAACCGGAAGTATCTTAACAAGTTCGTTACTAGCGTCACATTAGTCATGGCTGTAATATTTTACATGATGCAAATTAAATGAATAGACATTGTTATTAGAGATTATAAACTAGGACATTACATTTAGGAACTCAGTGACTCGTTTCAGTTTCATTTTTCTAATATTTCGTTTAGATTTGTTGGATCGAAGGAAATTGGAAAGAATAAGCGCCGGTAGCGAACCTTTAAGCTGACTTAGGCGAAATAAACGAAGCGAGCAGAGTACTTAACGTGTCAATTATAAAAATTCCCAGCACAAAGGTGACAGGAAGAATAAAACGATTGGATCCATTAAGTAAAACCGAAGAGAACTAATAAATTTCGATCTGAACCGATCGAAAGCCAAACGCGCCAGGCGATACCGTGCCCCGTTGGAACCGGAGACGAGTTAGAACCGCGAGGAAGTTAAAAACCGATCGACGTATAAAACCAGTCAGCCGGCCGCGTCGGTGCCGCTGGGAATCGCGCGAGACGATCGTGCAAGCTCGCAACAGCTATGCGCTTTAACATGATTGCCGGTAGCCCCGGCGAACCCCGGGACCGTCCTGTCGCGTGACAACAAGCTCTCCCCGATGAAGAAAACTACGTACAATTACGGTAATTGATCAACATCCGTGATCGAAGCTTTTCGACGCGGCCAGGCCGAAGCCGACCGCGGGGGAATGCTAAACGGCCGCGGCCGGGATCCAGGTTCCATCAATTTGCTAATCGAGTTCTCTCTCTACCCCGTTGATCCTGTTCTAAGAAACGAGGGGAACGGCAAAAGAGGCCGTCCCACGGGATTCCCGATTCTGTCCGCGTTTCCCGTTGCCAGCACAGTCGATAGTTTTATTCGCTTCGCCACGGTCTCCCCCATTTTTCCCGTCTTTTCCCCCGAACCATCGGCGGACTCCGGAAAAGAGCGTCGACGGGAGGGGAGCGTCAACAGGATTCCCAGGACGAATTCGCGTCGGACGTTCGTTTAATCACCGATTCGCTAACTCGATCGTCGACTACGATCGGAGTCGCCGCACGGAATCGTCCGTGGGACGCAACAGGCTACCCGGCGGACGTGCGAGCGAGCCGGCGAGCCGCAGCTCCGCGAATCGCCGGGCTAATCCCCGCCGCGCGACGATTAATATTCGCGAAGTAATTAAACGAACGGGGTAGGCTCGCGTGTTACGATTACGCGTCCGAACTCGTCGCGACCCTCGTCGGGCTCCCACGGATTTCCCGGCGTCCTCTTCCGCTTATCCCGCTGTGTCTGGTAATAGCTTCGACCGTGCGCGCCGGAACGATCTCGTTAATGCGGCGCCAGGCGAAACTCGAAAATTTCGCCGGGTAATTCGTAGAAACGGCCGCGAACCAGCCAACCGTCCTCCAGAACGCCGACGACGCCGACGACGGATTTTAAGGACGGCCGGCGATCGCGATTCGACCGAGGATCGTTCGGGTAACAAACCACTCGAACCGCCGCGAAGTCACGCCGCGCGAACGCGTTTCCCACCAATTAAATTTCCCTTCCCGACCACGAACGACGCGCTGGCGTGTTCTAGGCTGCTCGCGGGTGCTGCAGGCATCGTCTTCGCGAATTCCCTGGCGTGTTTACGAACCGCTCGTTAAATTACGCTTCGAACGGCGCGCGATCGTTTCGGACTTTTTGCTTTGGCAACGCTCGACACCGGCCGCTGCCAGTGGAACACGTCGATTGGCGACGACTGTGGCGACGTTCTACTGGGGTGGCTCGGTGAATTGATAGAAACAGGAGAATAGAGGACGAGGGAATTGAGATTTCAATTTTGATAGTCTTTCTTGGTGATTATTCTTCAAGCGATTTCGTTCGTTCAGCATTTTAAACGGAATAACCTCAATTAAAACGTTGAATGCCGCAGAATTTCATACAGCGGAATATACAAAATGGGTAAAATATAATATTAAATAATCCGAGTGAATACCATTGTTATTATTGCACGTTCGTCTAGCTGAATATCACTGCAGTAGGTAGTATTATTTACAATACAGAAATCTTTTCAAATAATTAAGTGAGTGAACTACAATAATTCGATTTGATTTCTTCACCGGTAACCCCATCGCATTCAACGACTGAATACCATTATTATTATTCCACGTTCATCTAGATGAATGTCACCGCATTAGGTAGTATTATTTATAATACAGAAATCTTTTCTAATCATAGTTTAAGTGAGTGAACTACAGTAATTCGATTTGGTTTCTTCACCGGTGACCCCATAGCATTCAACGCGTTAACTCGGGTACAATTACGACTTATTACTGTTACTGCCAGTTATGTTAATTACAGCGGTAACTCAAGATATCCGTAAGAACTCCAAGCCGCCGACCAGGCGAGACACAAAATCCCCATTTAAACGAAATTTCCTGGGAACACAAAATTCTTTTCTCTCGCGAAATTAGTCTCGGGCAACTTCCCGAGGCGCGACCGCGAGAAAGATGGCAGGGGGTGGGGTTAATGCGTTTAACTCCGCTATTCTGTTAGGTTCGCGCTTTGAGCCGCCGGCTCGCCCCGCGCCGGACAAAAACGTATAGAAATAAATTACCACCCGTAGCCTTAATTCCAGTGTCAATTGTCACCGGCGAGCGTCCCGGCGCGCTCGCACCAAAAAAATATCGCGTCCCGCCCAGTCGGATTACAAACCTGCGCCGAGTGAACGCCAAACAACGCATCCGGGTCTGTAATCTGTAACGTTTACGCGAGAGGTTTACCGTGGATCGACAAAGGGGCGAGCGCTTCGCGATCGCGCTACTGTGCCTCCTGCTTTCGCTACTAAAAGGCTGCGGTGATCTACACTTTTCTCGTCTTTACGGAGTCTGTAGCTGCCGATATACGCGGTGAGTCGTTTAACACTAAAACTACCGAGCGGTTAACCCTTTGCACTCAGACGTTTTCCACTAGAAATATTTGAGTAGCTTCTGATGAGATAAAGACGACATTTTGTGAATCTAACTCGAAGGGAAATCACGTACATTGAGGAACAGGGATATTGTATTTTGTTATTTTTCAAATCGATGCATTGTATGAAATGTAATATTAAATATAGCTTTTGATGAGATAAAGACGATATTTTGTGAATCTAACTCGAAGAGAAATCATATATATTGAGGAACAAAGCTTATTTATTATATAAGCTTATTTCGTTATTTACCAAATTGAAGCACTGTACGAAGTATAATATTAAATATAAAATTTTATAGTTTTACTGGATGAAATCAAGTGGCGAGTGAGTCACCTTTTTTTGAAGTTTGATACAGAAACTCCAAGAGTGCATCTATGAAGACTTTAATTGATTTATAATTCGGTTTTCTTCAATAATTTGTCAGACAAATATCTGTTATCCTTTTAATAATTTCAAAATGAAGGAATCTGGTAGTTTTAGTGTTAACAATGCCGAAATGTATTTTTCAATTATTTCGTTTTGTTGAACCATGTTTTAACGAAAGCTATTATCAGACGCTGAGCACTGAATAATGTGCAGTTTGAGCTGTTGTCTTGTAATATAAAACATTCGATTACCGGAATCAAAGGGACACTGAATTCTATTTAAAAAGCTATTAATTTGTAAAATTAACTTGAATATCGACGTTTCGGTGAGATCAAGTTTCCGTGTTTGTAAATGTAATTACTTAAACGCCAAGAGATCGCATAGTTTCCCTTTTCCTACTATTTACGCAGTTTATATATAATTCAGCTTTATCTGCAAGGTTCTACATATTCCAAAGAATCTTCAAAGGTTTAACAATTAACCCTTCACACTCGAAATCTAATCCCCAATCCCATTCGATACTCAATTACACTACTAACGAAACGATCATCTCAATCTAACGTACACTTATTTCTTCGTACATCAATTTAACCCTTGGCAGTTCTATGTCGACTCAGACTCGACATTCTTTATTGCAACCTCTACCTGTTTTAACAATTTTTTCTATATTTATTTGTAGTATCACAATTGTACCATTTAAAGGTACCATTTCAATGACTCCAAAATATTCTTGAACAAATAAATAGAGCGTCATATTAAGTTGTAATTGAATGAGCTAACGTCGACGTGAACCTCAAACTGAAAAACCAAGAGCACTTCGAACAAAGGGTTAACACAGTCTCCACAATACTCTCAAAATCCCAAAGGCCAAGTAAAAAAGCAACAATCAATCATCCCACAGCTCTTTCAAAACACAAAATCCTACAAGCATCCGCGAAACATCCCCAGCAGAAACCCTCGAGCGTAAAAGGCTGCCGAGCCACGTTGTTCTTGAAAAACTGATAGAATCCGTACACGCGAGAACCGCTCGCTTATCTGATACCCCAGTTCCCTGTGTCCACAAGAATATCTAACTAAATATCAGTTTCCGATCGCAGCATCCCGATACAGAGCGTCGGGCAGACTTATCAGCGCAGCGATATTCGGTAGGCAGGTGTTGCGCCGGTTCGCTCGGCTCTTTCGCCCGGTAGCGTAGGACCGTTGCACCATTGCGGAGCAGCGACGTGGTCGCATCGTCGCATCGACGTACCCAGGGGGGCATCGGTGGGGGTTGGCTCGATGGCGAGGGCACG